TTCTCTAAGCCAAGCAGAAACAATTTCCCCAACAAAAGACAAATCCACAGACACTGCTGTGCTATGAAGGGTTCAGTATATTTAATAGGGATATACCCCGGGACTACCCAGACCTGACAACAGGGCATGACTGACTGAGCGACTGCCTGCCTGCCTGCCTGCCTGCCTGACTGACTGACTGACTGACTGACTGACTGACTGGCTGGCTGGCTGGCTGGCTGGCTGGCTGGCTGGCTGGCTGACTGACTGACTGACTGACTACTGACTGACTGACTTCGCCGGCTCGCAGGAAGACTAGGCAAGTCGTCAGGCCGGACATGGGAAGGGCGGCTTGGCTTTTGTTTTTCGCTGTGTTTTTTTTTTTGGGGGGGGGGCAGTAAAGTTCTGATGACTTCTGAACACCTTCAAGCCACTTTTTTCCGACTTGACCTAAGCCTCAAAGCCACGGAAAGGAACGGGGTGCCCTTTGTGTAGTTGAGGATGGTGGGGATTGTGGAAGAAGCAATCTGGGGATCAACAAACATTTTATCACGAACATGGCCAAGAAAACAAACAAGTTCTAAAGCCCAGTGATTCTGAACGCAACTCTCGCAGTGCCTGGAGTCCTTAGGACCAGGACCGTGGGGTGTTTGCCGATTTTTGGAGGGTGCCCTATTAAGGTTAATTAAAAAAGCCAAAAGGACGGCAGACCCCTATCTTGAAACACCTGCCGGGTTCTGAATCCGGGATCGACAGCATAGATCCGCGTTTCCGGCCTCTCAGGCTGGGGGGATGGGCGGTCTGCGTTTTTGTGAGCTTGTCCTTTTTTGTTGGCTGGAAGGGAAACTAACGAGATCCTTCAGCACTGGGTTTCCCTCAAAATCAGGCTTCAGCTGAAACAGCATGCCACGGAACTGCTCGCTGAGATCAATACGCTGAGCACGGTGTCTGGCAACCTAACCTTCGCGAGTCTCCAGCTCTACATCTACCCCAAGAAGCTGGCCGTCCGTGTGCGGCGAAGCTTTGCGTCAGGATCAGTGCTGACTTCAAGGCGCTGGTCCAAAGGAACCGCGAGCGGTGGTGGGCGGCGTGCTGTGCACGTGGCGGTTTTTTGCTGCAACATGGTGCGGGCGTTCGCGGAGGGCACAAGCCCAAATAGGGGCTGGGTGGCAGGTGTCAGAATGAGTCAGTTTGTTTTGGCATCAGCTCTTGCTTGCACGGTGATAGGCATGGCTTCCAAGCCTCATTGGAGCTCGGTACTGAAGGAAAAGAAGCAGGTTTGAGGTCATCAAAAGCAACATACGTCACCATTTCTGGAGTCTTTCGATGTTGCTGTACATTGAAAGGTTAACTAAATATGCCATGGAATCAGAGCACCTTCTTTCTGGCCTTTCAAGGCGTCTCAAAGCGCGGTGCATGAATCGTTTTCCACCTGGTCGGATGCCCTAAGTTGCCCACGAATTCCATGTCGAGGGTATCAGGATCCGAGCTACCATTGTAGGAGGCTAACCATCTGTCTCTTGGGTTTTAAAGGGCTTCTTTGGTTACCTACTATCTTGGAAACTGGGTCACTCATTTGTCCTTTGGATTTTTCAAGGGTGCCCTTGGTTCTCTACCGAATGGATCCACCGGGATCCACCGGGCTTGGATCTGAATCTCATGGGTTCCCCAGTACTCCTGGGCTCCCTGCCCAAAGCACCCGCGCAGGCGGCCGGCGCCCGGCGAAGCGGCAAAAAGGAGCTCAGCAGGTTGCGAGGGCGGCGGTTTCAGGGCTCAGGCGTATCCTTCTGGGGTCTGAGAGTGTGGGGTATGTGTTTGTTTTTTTCGCGGAACCCCCCCCCCCCCCAAAAAAAAAAACCGGTGGTTTTCCTGGTTGGTTTCGACTTGAAGCCACAAATAAAAGGGGTGACGGACCACAAAAGAGGAGCCACCCGGGAGAGGGAGTTCGCTGGGTCTGGCAAAGCAGTTTGGTTTTGGTCATCCAGTGCTATCATGTTGTGCTTTTCTCCCAAAAGCACACCTACAAGGCCGCGGAAGTGTCCAACCGTGGTCCATCCACCGGACGAAGCCCAGACACCGAGGGCCGACGGACGGGCTTGACCTTTCCGCCTGCGGGAAATCGGGCGAATCAGCCTCTAGTTGCAAGTGATAGGGCGGAAGCAATTTTCATTCCCCTCTCTCGAACAATCATGGAAGTGGTCGTCGTCGTTGTCGTTGTCGTTGTCGTCGTTGTTGTTGACATGGGGCTTACCCAAAAGGACAGTAGTCTCCAAAAGCCCTCCTGACAGAAGACCTGACTTTCGGAGGGAGGGTAAGTTTTGAGCTGCAGGTCCGAGCATGAGGACCTTTGAAAAAGGGATCCCCTCTCGAGGATGTTGCTCGTTAAAACACCTGTGGTGCTCCCTGACGCACCAGGGGAGCCTCATCTACCAGGACCTACCAGTACCAAAGTGGAGGTTTTGGGGCGTCCGTCGGCCCGTCTCTTGGCTCGCACAAGCCGGGCGCAAGCGCTTGCGCCGGGCCTTGCCAGAGCCAGGCGGGGCCTAGGGAATCCTGGAAGTGAAGCAGCACCCATGCTACTTGGGTGTGTCTCTTGTAAGGGTTTGGAAATCCATCCAAATCAGCTTTTGGTCCAAACCACTGGTGAAGCCAAGGCACTCTTTGTTGAAGGGAGGTCACGAGGATGGGAATCATATTTCGGTTGTCATTCGGGCCTAAATGATAAGAATCCGGACCCGAGGGGTACGATGACCACAAATAATATCATCAACATCTTAAGCTTGTTCTTCTTAATTTATATCTTCAGAATCTGTCCTTTCCTATCTCTCCATCTTGGACGGAACAAGAGGACAATGCGTGTTTAGTTATTTGGCCCCCCTATCACAAGACGGTATCCTTGTTTTTGTCTCAAAGCAGATTTGGATTTTGTTTCCTGGGGTGGCTTCCCTTTGGTTTCTCTTTTAAACGCCAAAATGGGTGCCTATGGGTGCGTCTTTTTTAGGGGACCCACAAAATGTGGATGTCCTTTTCGGTTCCCCTTTAAACTTATCCCCAAAGCTTACCTTTGGTTTCCCTTTTAAACACCAACCCCCAGAAGGGTCGCCTCGGGGAAAAGAAAGAGCAAAGACAACAACAAACACAAACAAAAACAAAAGCACACAAAAAGCAACAACAAACAAACACGCAAAACAGTAACAATAATAATAATGATAATGATAATGATAATGATAATAATGATAAGAATAATAATAAGAATAATAATAATAAGAATAATAAGAATAATAATAATAAGAATAATAATAATAAGAATAATATTAATAACAAGAATACGAATAATAATAATAAGACGAATAAGAATAATATGAATCATAATAATAAGAATAAGAATAATAATAGTGATAATAATAAGAATAATAATAATACTAATAACAATAATAACAAGAATCATGATAATAATACTAATAATAATACGAATAATAACAATGATAAGAATAAGAATAATAATCATAAGAATAATGCTAATAATAATGATAATGATAATGATAATAAGAATCATAATAATAAGAATAAGAATAATAGTAATAATAATCACAATAATAATAAGAACAATAATAAGAATAATAGTAATAATAAAAATAAGAAACATACTAATAAGATTAATAATAATAATAATAATAAGAAGAATAATAATCATAATAATAAGAATCATAATAATAATAGTATTAATAGGAATAATAATAAGAATAATAATAATGCTAATGATAATGATAATGATAATAATAATAATCATAAGAATAAGAATTATAATAATAATAGCAATAACAATAATAATACTAATAACAATAATAATAAGAATCATCATAATAATAGGAATAATAAGAATAATAAGAAGAATAAGAATGATAATGATAATGATAATGATAATAATGATAATAAGAATAATAGTAATGATAATGATAATGATAATAATAATAATAATAATAAGAATACTAATAATGATAATGATAAGAAGACTCATCATAATAATAGTAATAATAAGAATAAAAATAAGAAGAATAATAATGATAATGATAATAAGAATCATACTAATACTAGTAATAATAAGAATAAAACTAAGAAGAATAATAATGATAATGATAATAATACTAATAATAATAAGAATAATAATAATGATAATGATAAGACGAATCATCATAATAATAGTAATAATAATAATAGTAATAAGAATAATACCAATGTGAATGATAATGATAATATTGAATCATAAAAATAGTAATAATAATAATGATAATGATAAGAAGAATCATCATAATAATAGTAATAATAAGAATAATAATAAGAAGAAGAATAATGATAATGATAATGCTAATGATAATAATGATAATAAGAATAATAATAATGATAATGACAATAATAATCATCATAATAGTAATAATAAGAATAACAATAAGAAGAATAATAATGATAATGATAATAATACTAAGAATAATAAGAATAATAATAAGAATAATAATAATGATAATGATAATGCTAATGATAATGCTAATGATAATAATGATAATGATAATAATAATAATAATAAGAATAATAATAATGATAATGATAATAATAATCATCATAATAGTAATAATAAGAATAACAATAAGAAGAATAATAATGATAATGATAATAATACTAAGAATAATAAGAATAATAATAATGATAATGATAATAATAATCATCATAATAGTAATAATAAGAATAAAAATAAGAAGAATAATAATGATAATGATAATAATACTAAGAATAATAAGAATAATAATATTGATAATGATAATAAGAATCATCATAATAATAGTGATAATAAGAATAATAATAAGAATAATAATAATGACAATGATAATGCTAATGATAATAATGATAATGACAATAATAATAATAATGATAATGATAATAAGAATCATCATAATAATAGTAGTAATAAGAATAGAAATAAGAAGAATAATAATGATAATGATAATGCTAATGATAATAATGATCATGATAATAATAATAATAAGAATAATAATAATGATAATGATAACAATATTCATCATAATAATAGTAATAATAAGAATAAACATAAGAATAATAATAATGATAATGATAATGCTAATGATAATAATGATCATGATAATAATAATAATACGAATAATAATAATGATAATGATAATAATAATCATCATAATAATAGTAATAATAAGAATAACAATAAGAAGAACAATAATGATAATGATAATGATGATAATAACAATAATAATAATAAGAATAATAATAACACGGATGGGGGGGGGGACACGCCCCATGTTCGGTACCGCTTTTTCCTGGCCTTCCGAAGGCCATGCCGGCAGTGCGTGGCAGGATCGGGCGCCCCTTGGCGCCTTTTGCGTTTTTTCTTTCTTTCTTTCTTTTGGAGGGGGGAGCCATTTGTGTGTGTTTTCATGTTTTTCTTGTTGGTTCTTTTTTGGGGGGGACGAGCCGTTTTCTTCTTCTTCTTCTTCTTTTTTTTGGGGGGGGGGAGCAAATTTTTTGGACGGTGGGGGGTGGGGGCCGACCAGTCTTTCTCTTTTGTTTTTTGCGGGTGGGTGGGTGGAATTGGACAGTTGCCCAGTGCCTTTGGTAGCTGTGCGGACGTTTTCTCGGGCCGTTCGCCGCTTGACCGTTCCCTATGTTGCATGGAGCATTGAAGACAAACCCCTCTTGAAGGAGCCAGCGGGTGGGACAGCATGAAGCAACATTTTCGAGACGATCCCCCTGAAGGGTTTGCAGCATCGGGTGCAAGCTTGAGAGGATCATAGCTGAAGACACCCCTTCGAGGGTTTCTCGAAACTTGGGGAATGCCCCTTCTCGAAAATGCGTTTGACAAGGAACCGCAAGATAGGATTCCACCGACCGCCGTTTTGGATGGTTGGAAAGAGGAAGCTAACCCGGGACCCATCTTGGGACCCGTGGGCCAAGTGCTGGACGCTTTGGCACGGGCGATTGCGGCCTCAAGTTCCTCTAATCCATTTGGCTCCGGGGTTCCCGTCCAACGACAAAAACGTGTTTTGTCTCGGTATGTTTCATGGCCGCGAATCACCACCCCCGAATAAGTAGGCTACCTGTTTTTTCTTCTCGCACCAACTCGCGCCTCGGCTTTGCTTCCCCTTTCTGCATGTCCACTGGCCGTCCGGACCGCCCCAGGAAAGCCCCTCACAGAGTACCAGGGATGGCCCAAAGGCAGGGAGTCGAGTTGGAGGTCAAAACCGTTCTCTGTTGGCTTTGGGTTTGGAGCTGGCTGTTTTATCTGCAAGGAACAGCCTTCCTCTTCAGTTGCTTCGTGCTTTGCCCAGACAACCATGACTCATTGGTTGAGCGATGGTGGGTCAAAGACGTTTGAGAAGGTTGGGCTTGGCCCAGTCGTTTGGGCCTCGCGCTTTGGAAGCTCGCGCTTTGGAGCTGGGAGGCATCTATCCCATGAGCGATGGCTGGGTGCCGCCCTGCTATCCGAAGGAGGAGGCGGGACATGGGCTGAAAGCGCGGAGCCGCGAGCGCGTGCGCAGGCATGTGGACATGGGGGGATAGCGACTGGCTTGGGTCTCCACAATGGGAATGTGGCGGGGTGCTTTGTCTTTGAGTCATGAGTAAAGGAGCTACTAGCAGTTACTTAGCCTCTGGTTTGGTTGATGTATGGAGGCGCTGACAGCGGGAAGTGCTCGCATTTATCGGCCGCCCTCGGTTCATGAATCCAGTCAGCCCCCCCAAAAAAGTTGAGCCCCAGCTGCCAGCTGCCTGTAGTCCCCATCTCGCTCTCGGCGTGGAGACCGCCGCCGGGGGCCGGCCAGGATCTGATCGCCTATGAGGAGAAGATGAACGCGCGGAAGAAGTCCACCCTGGTGAAGCGACATTTGTGCGTCAAGGACGGAAGCTGCGAAGAGCTCTCCTGGTGTATGTGTGTGTAAGTAAATACCCCTCCCCCCTTCTCCCCCCCAGAAAGCTTTGCCAAACGCGGGAGCACGTTTTTTTTCTTCTTCTTTTTTTCGGGGAGGGGACGTTGCTCCGTACACCGAGTCCTGAGGCGGCAGGTATGAACCCCAGTCCATGGCTTTGGGCCTCGGAAGGCCCGCAGATCCATTGGCTTTGCTTCAAGAGTAGACACACACACTGAACCAGAATCAGCGGAAAACCAGTGCCAGAAATAATAAGAGTAGTAGCAGCAGCAGCAGCAGTAGTTGTCGCCCTGATTGTCGTGGTGCTGGTGGTATTGGTCGTGTTGTAGTCGTCGTGGTCGTCCAGGGTCCAAGGCCTCACGCCCCACGACCGCAGTCGACCGCAGTCCCGTCGCGGAAGCCGATCGCCGAAGTGTGGCTCCGCAGGAGCCGCAGATTGCGCAGCTCTCGAAGAAGGACTTTGCGCAGAAGAGCCGCGACCTCAGTGGGGGTCTCCTAAGATATGGGATTCCTTTTGGGCCCTCTTATGGTTCCTCTTTTGGTTCATGGGCCCCGCCAATTTGGGTGTGTATTTTTGGGTTGTCCCTTTGTTTGGGTGGTTTCAAAGGAAGCCAAAAGGGGAATCACCCTTTTTTTGGGCCCTATTTTAGCACACACACACACACACACACACACACACACACACACACACACACACACACACACACACACACACACACACACACACACACACACACACACACACACACACACACACACACACACACACACACACACACACACACACACACACACACACACACACACACACACACACACACACACACACACACACACACACACACACACACACACACACACACACACACACACACACACACACACACACACACACACACACACACACACACACACACACACACACACACACACACACACACACACACACACACACACACACACACACACACACACACACACACACACACACACACACACACACACACACACACACACACACACACACACACACACACACACACACACACACACACACACACACACACACACACACACACACACACACACACACACACAAACACACACACACACACACACACACACACACACACACACACACACACACACACACACACACACACACACACACACACACACACACACACACACACACACACACACACACACACACACACACACACACACACACACACACACACACACACACACACACACACACACACACACACACACACACACACACACACACACACACACACACACACACACACACACACACACACACACACACACACACACACACACACACACACACACACACACACACACACACACACACACACACACACACACACACACACACACACACACACACACACACACACACACACACACACACACACACACACACACACACACACACACACACACACACACACACACACACACACACACACACACACACACACACACACACACACACACACACACACACACACACACACACACACACACACACACACACACACACACACACACACACACACACACACACACACACACACACACACACACACACACACACACACACACACACACACACACACACACACACACACACACACACACACACACACACACACACACACACACACACACACACACACACACACACACACACACACACACACACACACACACACACACACACACACACACACACACACACACACACACACACACACACACACACACACACACACACACACACACACACACACACACACACACACACACACACACACACACACACACACACGCCCCTTCCGGTTTTCAAAGAGACCCACAGCAAACCTTTGCCTTTTTACGGCACCCCTGTTTGAGATTCGTCCGTATGCCGTACATTTGGGTGAGACAAATTCTGGAACAGCATCAGAACATCTTACTTTCTTGGGCGTACCCCGGAGTTGGGCCCTCGGGAAGCGATCTTCTCTTCTTTCCCTTCAGGTTAGGTTTGGTCAATTGGTGGCCTAAACCCCCCACTTGAAAGAGCCAAACGGATTTTGCTCAAACAATAGCGGTTTGAATCTTTTCAATCAAGGGGGAGCTTCCCCCCGTACCCACCAGCCCTTCTGGAAGAGGTCAGGTCGGGCCGGGGTTTTCCATTCTCTCTTTGAGAAGATGAGCGTACCGGCCACAAGATGACATTGCAATGCTGTATCCACATAATGTGTGTTTTCTTTTCGGAATGGCAGAACAACTTTGAACACGCCAAGCCTTTGAGGTCCGTATGGCGGCCTTTTGCGAGAATTGTCAGGGTAGGATTCCAAGGCAATCGCTAGCGAGCAAGTGCGCCGTCTTCTGCGCACGGGGAGAGAGTGAGGGCGGGACTTGGACGCCGCAACGGCGGTCTTCCTTTTGGTTTCCCTTCAAACCAACCTGAAAAGGGGACCCTGAAATACACACAACCCACTCGAATTGGCACCCAGACCTTGTGGGTGACTCAAAGGCCGTTTTTAGGCGAGGCGACCCGAACCGGCGCCGAGCCGGAGGCGAGTACTCGATGTTGGCCTATGCCATGGCGGAGGGCGAGTATTCCGGGGAAGGCGGGTTCGGACGGGCGGTTCGGCGCGGCGGTTCGGCGCGGTGACTCCCCGTTTTGGGGCTGGGGGTTTGAAGGGAAACCAAAGGGAAGACCGAAGACCTTTGGCATTTGGCCACGGAAAAAAATGACCAGTTGGGATAAGCCGGTCGAGGACTTGTTTCGGGTGGACGCGGCAAGCCCGGCGAAAGGATCCGCGAGCCGCGGCTCGCCTCGCGTGCCTCCGAAACCGATGCTTGGCAACCATGATTGTTGGAGAAACTCGGGGAGCGACCCCCCAAACACCTCCAACTTGACCTTGTGACAGGCATCCACGGGAGTCAAGGGAAAGGTCCCTTCATGCAAAAGTGTTGGATGGGAAACCACTCGGCACAGCAAGCGCAGCTTTGGACATGAGGAAAACAACCGCCGAGGGAAGGCCATGTCTTCGGCCGCGGCGGGGGATGGGCGCTGGCCGGCTTCGGCAGGTGACGACCGGAGCTACTTCGTCATCGTCTTCTACGAGCCCTCGAAGAAGAGCAAGGCGACCAGGGGCGAGGAGCGCCGAACCGGGGGCCATGAGTTGAATTTTCGGTTTCTGGCCATCAAAGTCAGCATTGCCTTTGCAAAGGTGACTTCCATGACATCAAGCTTTTGCAAACCTCCCCTTGGGGGTGACTTTCCGTCATTTCTGTTGCAAAAGTGACTTTCATGAGGTGAAAGCAATGAGACCACTTTGTGCCCAGGGGAACCAATTGGAAACTGCAAGGAGGGGGGTGGTCAGAAGCGCGGGTCCGAAGGTATGTCCAACTAAGCAGTTCAAAGGAAGCCCATGTTACGACAAAATGGCAATTGGGCGATGTTTGAAGTGACATGTGGTGACTGGTGTGGAAGGGCTTTTAACCTCCAATTTCGATTTTGAAGCGATCCTTCCTGGTGCCTGAAAGTCTCCGTTTTTGAAGGGTATGGGAGGGGGTGCCTGTGTGTTTCGGATTCCTTGAGTGCGAAATGGAGCCGTCCGCTGGGAATGAGTGTTTTTTCTTTGTCTGGGATGTGTCTTGAAAGATTGATGGTTCCTCCACATTCGACAACCAAGGGGGAGAAGCCAATTTTGCAGTGTCTTTGTGGGTCCGGGGTAAACATCGAATGCCGTGTACTTGAATGAGTTGCGCATGTTCCGCCAGCTTTGTAGGTTACAACCATGGATATAGCTGGGGTAACTGGGGCTAGTCCGCTCTGCTCAGCCATAGATATAAGCTACTTGCTAAGTAGCTTGAGCACCCAAGTTGCCGTTTTGATTAGAGCAACTGACTCACGTGTTTTTTTTTCCCCGTGGAGTTTCCATCGTGGTTTTACCGTTGGCTCGGGAAAGGTAATCATGTCGATCGACCTTATATCTTTCACTGGCCCATTTGAGGACTTGCGCAGACCATGTGGGTTCAATGTGGGCATGTGTTTTTGCATCGGGCCCGAAAGCTTTTGGGGCTGTTTTGTGCCAAAGCCAAAGACCAAGGCCGATTTGAGTTCTCTTGGGTCCGGATTTAGAGGCAACCCAATACAAGCCATGCCTGCAACCCATTGCCTGGTTGAAAGGGAAACCACGAGGAAGCTGATTTTTGAGGTGCCCCCCCAATTTTGAGACTAGCTCCAAAAACTGTTTGCCCGGAAGGACATCCATCATCCGTTGCCTAAAATTGCCAGGTGGAGCGCGCCTTCAAATCCGTGGATGTCGAGCTGGCAGACTATGAGCAGGTCGCGCGTATTGACGCTTCGACTCCGACTCCGTCGGTTTGTTTTTCTCCTTTGTGTGGGGAACCCCTCGTTGTCTTGTGTCAATTTTTTCGGGACGCCAAGAGGGAGCGACGCACTTTGGGGGCCCCCGTACTTTGAAACATACCCACATGGAGTTTTTTTGTGGCTTCGGGGTGGGGGGGGGGACCCCACCTTTGCGAGGATGGAGCTGTCGGGAAGCTGAACCAAGGGTGTGGCAGTTGAGTGTCAAGATGGGGTCCCGAGCCCTGCTTGGCCCTTGGCCTCGCCTTTTGGCTTCCCTTCAAACACCCAACAATGGGAGCAGACCCAGGCAGACCAAACCGATCGTGTGCCTTCAAGGCCTTGTCTGGGACCACAGCATGGGATTGGGGGGGAACACCAGTTGAGCCACGTCCTCAAAACCCGGGTGGTTGAAAGTTAGGAATAGTCCCAACCAGAAATGGGGGCGGTTCTCCTGCAGGTGACTCTTTACACGGTTGTGGGTTCACCATTGTGGTACCAGGTTTTGATTTTGAAGCATGGGGAAGGTACCAACGTCCAAAGCACCAAACCACCAAGTATTAAGGATGTGAGGGTTTTTGTGTTGCCAGTCGGCCGAGAGATCTTCTCAGAGACCCGAAGGTGACTTTCATTTTAACCTTTGGGCCACAGTTTTCAGACCAAGACGCTTACATCAGCTGAGCATGCCAGAATCTGGGTCTCTGAGTCTCTCCCAGTTCGGGGCTTTATATGGGGGGTTTGAGTTGTCGTCCAAAGGGGGCTGTACATCAACGAATCAAACGGGGCATCCGGGCCCCCTTTCGCAGCGCTCCTGGCTTTTGAGCTTCGCTTCCCCCGCCCAAGCTCCACTTGAGCTGTTGGAGGTGGTCGTGGATCCGGATTCCAAGATGGAGCAGGAGGCAGGTGGAAAGTGGGGAGAAACCGAGCATAATGGTCTTGCTGGTGCTCAGGGAATGAGAAATGGAACGACCCCTAGAAAAACCATCCAACTGGTGGTTTCCTTTATTCGGGAATCCAACTGGGTTCACTCCCTCCTTCCCTACTGAGCACCAGCGAGTTGTTTTTGGTGTGACCTGGGGGCCGAGTTGAAGGGAAGTCAAACGGTTTCTGCACAAGGGCCAACGGCCTCACGAAGAGATGGCTATGAAACGGTTTGGCCAGCTGTGATCACGGTGAATCATGCGAGAACAGTGACTTGTCATTGCACAGATCCAGGGGTCATTTCATTTTACATGGGAACGAATCTAAGCAAGTACCCCCGTACCCGCCAGCCCCCCTCCCCCTAACATGGCACCATGCTCCGGAAGGTCCAAGCCAGGCTTCGCAATGAGATTCCGGAGGGTTGAAGATTCCCTTGGTCTTCCGTCCAAGTCTTTTCCCCCAGCCTTTGGACAACCAGGCTCGAGTCCCAGGTTTCTGGCTCGAGAAGGAAGGTGGAAGTGAATGGCGCGGTTTTCCGAGAGATGAAACGTTTGAAGTCCAAAACAGCTCGTCTTGGTGGATCATCTTCCAGCCAATGAAACACCCGAAATTAGGGGGAAGACCAAGCAAGTCCTCTTTTGGGGTCTCCTAAGGCTATATTTTGAGGTGAACTAAATGTCAGGCAGTCTATCTTCTGTGTAATGGGACCCCCTGGCTGATTATTGGCGGGGTGTCCCCTTGTGGGGATGCGTCACAGTTGGAGGGGAACACACTGTAGTGAAAGAAAATCTGGTTTATCATATGACCCAGGCCTTCTCATTCCTCGTTTTTTTTTTTTTTGTGGAGTCTTGGTTCCCCACTCCGCAAGTCGCAAGGAGAAGTTCATGTACGCCCACGGCGCGGGCGACACCGGGGAGTGCATCTTCGGCGAGCCAGGGGCCCGGCTGTCGGAAGGTTGTTCCGAGCCGGGGGCGTGTTGGATTTCGGAAGACCCGGAGTAAGACACGGCTGTGGTGGTCAAAACCGTTTTGGGATCCCATTTTGGGGTAGGTGCACCACCCATTTTTGTCTATTTTAGTGGGGATTGGGATGTTCACTTGGGGGTAGGGATGTTGGGGTACAGTATTTTGACCCATGGCCACATCCTCTGCTGCTTAAAAAGGGGGGGGGGGGTGCACTTCCATCCATCTTCATTCCCAAGTTGACCCCAAAGGACATGGATCACCTATCTCTCGATCAACCCAGAGCTCCGTACAGTTTGCCCAGAATCGTCTGATTTGTTCATCTGCCTTCAAGCATCCATCCCCTGCGGGTTCCTTTCCGTCTAGCTGCCCAGTTATCAATCCGAAAGACACTCTGTCCTCTTAGAGTCCTCTTGGAAAGCAAGCTTGTGCACTTCTATGATTTGGAGTGTAATTGTGTAGAACATGTGGGTTTGTCGGGACACTCCCTTTAAAGACCACAACAAAAAAGGCACCGTCCAAAAACGACACCCACATTTACCAGTGAACCGCCCTCTTATCTCTCCAAAACCCGCCATAGCTCTGAGGTACGAGTACCAGGTGGTGCCAAAGGGCAGCCCGGAGTATAACGACCCCTGGGGCCCAACACACCCGGAAGGCACCGAAGTGGGGGGGGGGAGGGGAGAGTGGAGGCGGGATGTTGTGGATTTGCCCTACTTTGGCCATGAAGTTTTAGAGTTGGATTCACTGCAAAAGTGGTTGGACATGAACCCCCTAAGTGATGCCCACGTCCGGGACCAAATGGGTTTGTCAAAAACAAAGATGCGCAAGCTGCGAAAAGAAGATGTCTTTACGAGCTCCCTTTTTTGAGATGGAGCCAAAGGGGAAGGGCGGCGGATGAAACTCCATATGGCAGCAGTGTCCTGTCAGTGGCCTTCACGTAGCCAACCACACGCACTTGATACAATGCATTGGATGGCGAATCCAGGGGGTGGGGGGGGAGTGGAGGGGGTGGAGGGGGTGGAGGGATTGTGACTCGCTGTTGACCGTCGGCCATTTCGAGTTGGCGCAACAGCCTTTCACATCGGCTTCTTTTGGAGCCCGACTTTTTGTTCAACCACTCTTCTGTTGTCTTGGCCCCTGGTTTCCCCCATTTCCTTTTGTGGATCCTCCCAAAGGAGATCAGTTTCAATGGGAACCACCGGAAAATCGCCACCTTCGAAGGGGAAATCGGTCCCGGGTCCGTGAGTCCAGGGGAACCCGGGCCGGACAGCGGCCCCCATAAAGACCGGTGCCTCCTTTTGTCTGTTTGGTAGGGGTGGGCGTGTCAACAAAATAGGGGACGTTCCGCAAAGACAAAGCCAGAAAGGGGGTGGGCACCCCCTCTTGGTTTGGCTTTCAAAGCCATCCCCAAAGGTGGCACCCTCAAAAAGGGACACGGCCGACTTTTCGACAGCGATCCCCTGACGTGAGCCTCCTGAAAAATGTCCTGAACGTGGAGCGCAAAGCTCAGCCGCGGTTTGGTGGGAAGACTACTTGAAGCGTCAGGCAGATAAATCTCATTTTCCGATGCACCTCGAGAACGAACACGACACGTATCATTGAGCAATTGCCGTTCCATGAGTCAGGGAGTATGTGCTAGGGCAGGCTGAGATTCTCGGGTTCTGCAGGCAGATTCTGGGAGTGAAGCCCTCTCTGCGCCCGCACGCCCCGCGAAGTTGCAAAGCACGAATCTCGGCTCACGTCCAACTGGAGACCCGGTTTCCAGCCGGAATCTGCGATTTGATTCCCTTCACTGAAAAAATGGGGGGGGGGATTTGAAAGTATAGGCCCCCTCTTTCATCTGAAAAACCATGTAGGGCCCCAAACAGAGGTCGATTCCGAAATGTTTTGGGGGACTCATATATGATCTTGCAAGGTCTCTTTAATTGAAAGGAAGGCCGGGTTGTTCAGGGGCCAACGTCAACAGAATCCAGGTCTCTGCCATCCGCTCAGAGATCGCCCGTCTTCCGTGCGAAGGAAAGAAAATCCGGGGGGAGGCGGGTCAGTGTTGAAGGGTTTCCTGGGGTCTCCATAGCTTTTTGGGTAGGCAACACATGCGTGTGCCTTTTTCAGCGAACCCCAAGAATGGTGGTTTTCCTTTTGGTTCCCTCTCCAAGCTCATCCGCCAGGGCTTTTTGAATCCAGACAGGGTCAATTGGCATGTGTCAAGACAGATACATGACGCACCCCAAAAGCAACAACCATCGGTGGTTTCCTCTTGGTTCCTTTGAATCAAGCCACAAACCGCACCCCCAAAAAGGGGTGGACCTCTACAGAGCACCGAGCCCCATGGCTGCGGCACGAGTTCCATGGGCCCCAGCTGGGCTCAAAAAGAAAAAAGCGGGGCGGGCGGGGCTTGCCGTCCGGGCGCGCGGCATGCCGATGCCGAGCCCTTGGCGCTTGGGGGTCGGAGGCTTTCGTGGGGATCGGCGCCAAGTTTTTTTTTTTCTTCTTTTTTTTTCCCGGAGGTTTTCTCATCCCAAGTTGGACTTCAAGCCGGGAAAGTCTCGGAAAGGGCACTGTCTAAGTCGACCTTCGAATTCGGGAGCCAAGATCCGGGTTCAGTGGATTCTAGTCGCTCAAAATGGAACCCCAGAAACGGGTGTCTCTGGCAGAAAACCACCCCAAAACCCAAGGAACTGGGAAGTTGGCACCTGGAAGCGTGGTTCCTCTTTTGTGTGACCCTCAATCTTTGTTGCAACGGAAAGGAGTGTTCCCCCTGCTATCTAGCAAACAGCTTCAGGTTTGTGCAGGCATTTGCCAACATCGTTTGGGCTGACGGACGACCAGCTCAAGTCATGATCATCGGGCCAGGACTTTGAACAGGGAACCGCCTCAAACAAGTTGTTTGACGTCCACCAAAGAAGCCCCGAGCACAACCAGACGCCCGTTTAGGCCCGAAATAGGACGTTGGACCCCCAAAATGGGTGCAGTCCCTTTGTTTTTTCCTTTAAACGAGAGGGGTACCGGGCCCCAAAGCCGAAGTATGTTTGGCCAGCGCCGGCGGATTTTTTTTCCGCTGGACCCGAGGCGTGCCGTGCTCCTGGGGGCGCTGGCGCTGCCGGCTTCCATTCCGTGGATTCCACTCTCTTGATCCCTGGGCATGTATGTTTTGGGTGCTCTTTTAAGATGGGTTTCAAGGGATACCAAAAGGGAAGACACCGTTTTGGGTGTCCAAAGCCATGTTTTGAGACACAACCTCTTGGCCCCCTGTAAGGTGAGTTGTCCTTGGTGGTGAAGTTTTACAGGGAATGTAGGGAACCCAGTGTTGGCGGCTTTCCCCGAAAAGGTGTTCCAATTATTTTCTACCACTGTCAACTGGGTTACTTTAGACTTTTCATGTGAGTGGTCAGTATTCACAAACATTTTGTTTAGTGGGGGGGATGACATTGGGCGACCAACACCCAATGTCATTTGGGAGGTAAATAATACCGCCCCACCAATTCACATGGAAGCTGACATGGGGCCCTTTAAAAGGGACAACGCTCAACACCGGGCCCCGGACGTCAGGTTCCATGTGAATTGGTGGGAGGATAATATTGACTGTGCCTCGCAAAAGGGAAGCTTTAGTATAGCCGCTGGGTTTCCCAGCTGGGTTTGCACAAGGGGCCTTCTCGGCGCCCCTTGGAAAGCTGCCAGGGCGGAGTGCAGGCTTTCTACCTGCCGGCGGCCCCAGACATTTTTTTTTCACAGAAACGGCGGAGGTCGAGCACGGCAATGGAGCTGGGGAGAAGTGGGGGTCTCTTCTGAGGTCCATATTCTGTATATACTCTCCGGTCCACATTGCCATGAGAATCCGCCGGAGAAATGGTCCCTGTTGAAGGAAAGTGGTCAACCGAGACCCTCAGTCAGATTCCAAGTTTGGACAGAAGAGACACTTGTCGACAGTATTCACAATGACGATCTATATGAAGGGTATTGCCGGGGTTGTGATTGGTTCAAACCAGCACACAGTAGGCTGCAGTCGTGTCCTCGGGTGAAGGCACTCCCGTGATTTCGCCCGCTCCCCCAAGACCAAACTCCTTGGAACGGATGAAGATTCGTTTCCACCAACTTTCAGGGTTGCTCGTAGCCTAAGGATGACCAGGCAGGCATACAATTGGTGAACAAACACCGTGGAGTAACCCCTTTCAGTGTACGACCCATCTCGAACTCTCATCCCACCCTGAGATCCATGCATGCTGGGTAACCGGCCAAGCTATCTTCAGGGAAGTAGCTTCCTGCCGAAAGCAAAAGCTGGGGATCAGAAAAGCCGGGCCTGGAGTGTTTTGCCCGAAGAGTGTGCGAGCTACGGGCTCACCCATGAAGTTTCCTCAGGGGGGTTCTGAATTTCAGCTCGGGGAAATCATGAAAAACAACACAGATTGAATGATTTTTTTCGTTTTCTTTCAGCTGGGGGCTGCCGGCCGTAAGTTGCAAGTCTTGCAAGTCTGTCGAGGGCTGCCCTGAAGTGCCACCGCGAAAGGCAAACGCATCGAGAAAGGCCGGGGAAAGGAACGCGAAAGGCCTGAGATAACAAATGGGGCAACATAAGTTTACATCGTGCGCTTTGGACTTGTTGCCGTTGGCGGCATTTTGAAAAAGGTTTCTTGCGTGGAGTTGCGCCGAGCTCCGCAGCAAAGCCAAAAGTGACACTTCCAGCAGTTCATCGTCAAGTGGCTCAACTGCTTCTCAAGTTTCAAGAACCACAGTGGATGATAGTTGCTAAGATTGATGAGGCACTGCGAAAACAAAACTGGGGGCTGTGAAAGGAAGGCGAAAGGCCGGCGAGCGGCGAAGGGGAAGTTTCAGGCGCCTTTGCTTTGAACAACTCCCATCTTTTTTTTTAATTTGTTTATACACATGTTCCCATGTTTGTTGGCCAGCGTGATCCCCTCAGGCCCCCTCCACTTGTCGGCCTCACTGCCAGACTCAACGCACCTTTTTCCATGTCTTCGCCCTTTGGAGTTTGTGTCAACTTGACCAACCAGTTGTCTTACTTGCAGGGAGTCTGATCCATTTTTGCCGGCTTTCTGGAAAGAAAACCATCCTTCGGTCCTTGGGCAGCCGGATCGATCCAGGCGTGCTTGCGCCTCAGGCCCGGAGTCGCCCCCATCGAGTACTCAGATGGAGCGCGGGTGGAGCTCAAGGTCAACAAGCCCCGGCCTCGGCTCGGCTCGGCTCGGGCGTGGGTTGGACCCCTGGGCTCCGAAGTGGCCTCCCACACCATTTGAGGGCTCACAAAAGGAAGGGCAGGTGGTTTCCCTTTGAAGCACCAGAAGCGACGCGCACACCAACCCTGGACCACTCAAGCCTAAACCTACCCTAAACTTTTAGTGGCTCGCGCCAATGTGCGCCAACACAGCGATTTTTTGAAATGGTTGCTCAGGGAGCTCGGGCGTTGGGTTTCGGGTTTCGGGTTTCGGGTTTTAGGTTTCGGCGGTCGGTGTTCGGGGCTTTGGGATTTCAGGTTTGGAGTTCGACGCTCTAGAGATTAAGGTTTTAGAGTTTGGGTTTTTTGGTACTTCGGGGTTTTCGTTTCGGGGCGCGGGGCTCAGCGCTTTAGGGTTTTGGGTTCGGGGTTCGGGGTTTCGGGGTTTCGGGTTTCGAGTTTGGGTTCGGGGTCCGCGGTTTTGGCTCGACAGCTCGCGGCTGTGGCGGCCGGCCGCGCGAGGTTTCGGGCTTTGGGGCTTCCGTTGAAAGGCAGAGCGTGGGAGGACCTCAGCGACGAGGAGGTTTGTCTTCTCTGAAGAGCTGAGAACAGCAGCGAGAAAGTACACGAAAGGATCAGCAAGGGTTTGGTCTCAGACGTAGTGAAACTTAGGATGCCGTGTCAAAATCTCGAGATTTGAACCCCATGAATCAAGGTTTCCTTCAAGTGTCCTTCTAAACCAAGCTAAAAGGGTATCAAATCAAAACAACACAAAGCTGTATGGGTTCCCCCGCAGTGGAAGAGAGAACCTTTTTGAACAAGACAGATTAAAAGAAAAGGAAATTGGAGGCTAGGGGCCCTGATCCTTTTGGGGCCGATTTTGTTTTCTGCATGAGTTTCTCCCATGTGGGTTTCCTCTTGGTATGCCCCACACTTGTGCCAAGCAATGCATAAAAGTTCCACTCAGGGTTCCAAACGGTTCAACCGAAGCAATCAGGAGGCAAAAGCCAACCATCTCCAGTGGACACACATGATGGCTTGTTCTGGGGGCCATTTTGTAGCAGCTGGAAGCGCTGCTTTGTAGGCTTCCTTAGATGTTCCCGCCATAGGTCAGGTGTAGTCAGTTTCGTTTCCTGTGATTTGTTACCCACCCATCAATACCGCATATTCATTCGGAGCAACCACACATTTGGATGTGAATTTGTTCGCTCTTTGGTCTGCGAGTCATTGCCGTTGCTCCGAATTGCCGCGCCTCGCAATTCGGATTCGGCGGATTCGACGTGTGGCGGAGTGCAAACCCACAAGAGCAGAACACAAGTTTGGGGTTGCTGCAGCAATAAAAGTTTCCAAGCTTTTGGGAATGATGGGGTGCAGGTGCTGCTGCACTGCTGGTGCTGATATGAAACTAAGGTGGTCTCTTTATTGTAGGGGGGTGTCCTAGTTAGCAGGGCTGCAGTACTAGGTACCATGCAGCAATGAAAACCTAAGCTTTTCAGTGCAAACCCACAAGAGCAGAACACAAGTTTGGGGTTGCTGCAGCAATAAAAGTTTCCAAGCTTTTGGGAATGATGGGGTGCAGGTGCTGCTGCACTGCTGGTGCTGGTATTATTGTGAGGTGGTCT